TATGCCGCACGGGACCCAAAAATAAAGTCTTAAAACCAACCCTCAGGGGAAACAGTCTAAAATCCCCTCGAGTGGTTGCTCCCTCAAGGACTGAGCCGCGGGAAGCCCTTGTGTGTGACATTGTTTTAATTAAAAACCCTTTAAGCTAATTTTCCCATGCCCTTTAAGACAATCTGCAGCATTTATGGCTAATCCATGTCCTGTATGACTGGTCAGCATCCTCCCAGCCAACTTTCTTTTCCACAACATTTCGTATCCTTTTTTTGGCGGGTCGACCTAAAAAGTTTCAAGGGTTAAAAAAATTTGGGCCCTGAAATTTTGAATAAAAGATCTTAAACGCAGGCGACCATCTAACCCCAGTTCCTATTTAACGCTGAAAACCTAAACTTTGATCATTCTGGCAGTAATTTTATGTGGCATATATCAGATCAGGATAATAAACAGAGATTATGATTGGTTAGATTCCATACTATTTAAATAATAATCTTCTTCTTCTAGCAGCTGTAAACTCTGGCAGAAAGTTCTGGTTGTTCGTCCACTTGTGGACTGCAGTCCTCTTCCAGAACTTGAGTGCTGCACGCACATCTGCTTGCCAGATCTGACTTATGAAGACTGTTGGTTCCTTGCCTCTCATGCAGATGCACCCTGACTTTGAACAAAGCTCCAATTCAGTCAATTCTTACGACATACTTTTGGACAGACAGTGGGTCTACTCTTGCTTATCCTGTAACAGGGCCTTGGAATCTATAATAATAATAAATGGGAATAAATAACAATCACAGACAAGTGCAATAAATTATAAAAATTTTCTTTTGATGAGACATATTTAATGTTTTTAAAAAAAGGATTCTTTCTGCTCCAAAACACCACACGTCATAAGTAACCAGTTGCTTTTAACTGTCTGATCAGGACCCTTGACTCTCTAAAGCCAAAGCCAGCCACAAAAAGGGAAAACAATGGATTGCAAATGGATCTGATGTTTTCGCATGTCCGAAGCCGACCCCTTGAGCACATTCTACACCCAAGTCTTTCCTGTTCCCATGCCTTTTGTCCCTACTGATTCCTGTAGTAGCATTATAAAGAGGCTTTTCTTGCTACATGTCTGTACCACTCCACTGCGTTTTCAATTTTTGGTTTTCCCTGTGTTTAAAGGTTACATAGTTTCCAATGCACCATGGTGTCTGATAGATTGTACAAACAAGGTAGAACTAAAAAAAACAAGGAACTGTTTTTTCATGTGTTTGAGGCTCTCTTGTGTGTATGGTTCTGTCCTTTATTTATTGACAAATCATGTGTAATACTAGCTAACTTTATTTTACTAAAATATTTCCTGGTGCATGTTTTTTAGTTGGATTTATCCCCAATACACAACTAGCTGTCATTTCTGTATGTGTTCAAAGTTCACAGGCACAAATTTACATAAAAGGTCAACAATGTAATAGGCCTTCCCTGCACTAATCAACAAAGAAGATTAGGAAGTATCAGTATGAATACTGCAAATAAACATTACAAATTTATTGTATAATTTATCTGATGAATGAACATATCTCAATTCCATCAAAATGAACTTTAATTAGTAAACAATTATGTAAATATATAATACCACAGGAAGACTGGACATGTTAATTGCTGAAACAAACTAGAAGTTAAAATGCTGCTCGAAGTTTAAAAAATTCTGGAACTGTTTATAGCTGCATTCAAATCTGATTGCTCGCTGTGGCTGATTCACAGGTTCTCTTCTCCACAATCTCATATTCTGATGCGAAAAGAGCTGGAAACATAAGAAAAAACAATAGGCATGATCATCTAAATAATTCGGGGCCGCATTAGCGCAGTCGATAATAGGCTCGCTTTCAAATCCAGCTGCGACTCGCTGCAGCCCATGGTGGGTATTCAAAACCGGGCGGCTCCCGGGGTTCACCCAGCCTCTAGGAAATGGGTACCAGAGTTGACACTCTGGGGTAAATGGAGGAACGTCGCTGTAGCTACAGCGTTACGTGCGAACGGTGACACATGCGGACAATTCTTATCCGTACTGGTGGCAGAGCCCTTATGGTTTATAACCGTGTGCAATGACGCTGGTTCACATCTCCTGACTTTTTTAAAATCTAAATAATATTTTTAAACAAAATTTTTAGGTAAAGAATTCCTTTTGATGCTAGCCCCATTGTTTGTTTGTTTGTGTTTACCAGCTGTAAACTCTGGTGGAAAACCCTGGTAGTCTCTCCATTTCTGGACTTTGTTCTAGGAACTGAGTTTTGTGTGTGCATCCATTTTACAGATCTCCGCAGTCTGTTATTTCCTTGCCTCTTCTTCTTCTTTCGTTCGCCTGAAATAAGTTGTCTATATCAGCAGTTTTGTCTCTTGTATAAATTTCACTGTCGTCGTTAGTTCATTCAGTGGTCCATAGAGTTTACGTTCCACTGTTGTTCTTTCTGGCCAAAAGGTTTGCCTTAATGTGTCAAAATCATGCAGTCCTGGAGTACATGCTCTGCTGTCTGGGGCACCTTTCCACAGGTGCACATGGCTGATACGCCTATCTTGAATTTTGTGTACGTGTGGTTACGTAATCGATTTCCTTGCCTATCAGGCAGACGCATTCTGACTGAGAATAAGACGTGAATCCTCTCTCTAGGATAGATGACTGTAGCAGTCTGATCCTGCTGTTGCTATTCAGTAGGATTCTCAATCAAAAGACATCTATCTTAGTAGGAGGTTCGGCTCATAGGCTTTCCTCGCTGTACAATGGTCACCCAACATTTAGGGTGGGTTAATGAGTGCCAGCGGTTGTCTGAATTATTCATGACTTGTTTCCAGAAATTTCCATGGTTTTTAGACCCCCGTCCCCTCATAGAACTCTTTTTATCACCCCCACATAATACAGATATGTGCACACAATACTCTTCATCCTGTGAAATGCTGCTTGTGCTTAAAGGATTGAAAGAATCAATCAAGAATTTAGATCAGCATACTGTTGGTTTCTTGTCTCTCGAATTCGATTTTGAAGGAAGCCCCGATTAGTAGACACTTTTACAACATGCTTGTTGGAGAAAGGGGGGGGGGTCAGTGGGTTTATTTTTGCTTTCCCCATAATGAGACCCTGCAACCCACATGGGGAAGCTTCAAAAACTGTTTTATGTGTTCCCTCTGGAAGTGATGCCTGACTGACTGACTGACACCCAGTGACTTAAATGGCCCCTTTTAGATTCAAATCCAACAGTGGCAACTGGCAGATGCCCCAGTTATGGGTATAAAACAGTTATATTGTGGCACCACACAGTTACCATGTAAGCTGCAGTTTTTTGTGCTGGGTTGTTACCTATAAACTAAGCAAAGTTTACAAGATCATAATATGTTGACATTATTTTTACAATAAAACCATATGGAAGAGTAATATAAATACACATTCGTAACAAGTTAAATATTATATACTTATTTTCAAATCACAGGTTCTGGGGGTCCCATTGTTGGGAAAAGAAATAGACCCTCCACCCCACCCCAACAGCCATGTGGTAAAATTCGACTTATTAGGGATGTTTCCCTCAAAAACGGAGTGCGCCTGCCTGAGAGGCAAGGAACCAACAGTCATAATACCAATAAGCCAGATCTGTAAAAGAACATGTATGGAAAACCCAAGTTCTGGAACAAGACTAATGTCCAGAAATGGACGAATAACCAGAACGTTGTGACAGAGTTACAGTTGGAGAACACAAATAAGAAAAAAAATCTACTTAAACTGTTAAGAAGCGTGCTTACTTTACAAAGTCAGGAGCTTTTGATATCACATGCTCAAATTCAGCAAACGACAGGGTCTTGTCATCATCAAGGTCTGCTTCTTCCATGATCTAAGGGAGAGAAATGCATGCAGTTTACAACTTGAACAACTAGGAGGACGAGAGAGTGAACAAGAGGAAGGAGCAGAGGAGGGGGAAGGTGACAGAGACAAGAGGAAGGTAAAGGGTAACCAGAGAAAAAGGAAGATGAAGAAAATGATGGAAGCAATGGAAGAAGAAAGAGGAGGATCAGTAAAGAGGTGGAGGAAACAGAGTAAGTGAAAAGGAAGAATAAAGAAGTAGAAAATGATGACAGAAAAAAAAAACAGTTGCAGCAAGACAAATAAGGAGGGTTAGCAGTAGTCAGAGGTTGGACTAAGTCATCACCGTTCAAGTCCCAAGTCATTGCCACCAAGTCCCAAGTCACTGCCACCAAGTCCCAAGTCACTGCCACCAAGTCCCAAGTCACTGCCACCAAGTCATTGCCACCAAGTCCTAAGTCACTGCCATCAAGTCCCAAGTCATTGCCACCAAGTCCCAAGTCACTGCCACCAAGTCCCAAGTCACTGTCACCAAGTCCCAAGTCACTGCCAACAAGTCCCAAGTCACTGACACCAAGTCCCAAGTCACTGCCACCAAGTCATTGCCACCAAGTCATTGCCACCAAGTCCTAAGTCACTGCCATCAAGTCCCAAGTCACTGTCACCAAGTCCCAAGTCACTGCCACCAAGTCCCAAGTCACTGTCACCAAGTCCCAAGTCACTGCCACCAAGTCATTGCCACCAAGTCATTGCCACCAAGTCCTAAGTCACTGTCACCAAGTCCCAAGTCATTGCCACCAAGCCCCAAGTTATTGTCACCAAGTCCCAAGTCATTGCCACCAAGTCCCAAGTCACTGTCACCAAGTCCCAAGTCACTGCCACCAAGTCCCAAGTCACTGTCACCAAGTCCCAAGTCATTGCCACCAAATCCCAAGTCACTGCCACCAAGTCCCAAGTCATTGCCACCAAGTCCCAAGTCAAGACTCAAGTAACTAAGAATGCTTCCAAGTCGAGTCCTGAGTCAAGTTACTTCACATATGAAGTTATCTGCAAGTCATGCATGGGACAATACCTTTGTTTTAACCAGTTAGTCTGTTTAAATTTCAAAACAACAGCCTACAATGGCTTGATTTTGTATGTAAATAGCTGAATTGAACGCACACAGATTGCAAATTGTCAGTACTGTATTTTAATAAATTTGCAGAAAACTAAAAAGTTGTCACATTATTTTGTATTGTTATTTCAATAGTAGATGTGCTTCGCTTTGTGAAATATTCCTCGAAATCTGGACAGGAAGCTATTTTGAAATTTCATCATCATCTGCAACCACAATTCTTTAATGGCTAAAAAGTTCAAATACTGCAGGAATGACAAAAGAAATGTTGATACAGATTTCTCTCTGCACTTGGTTTGTGGATCCATCAACCCTCCACTCAAAACAAACAAAAAAAGTTTCCAGGATGTTACTTGTTCATGACACTGTGAATATTCCCTCTGGGACAGACATAAGTACTTATTTGTCAAATTTAAATAAATACAGCTGTTCTTCTTCTTCGTTCACCGGCTGTGAATTCTGGCGAAAGGTCCTTGTTAATCGCCCGCTTGGACTTTTGGCTTTTACCTGGACCTGAGTTTTTGCGTGTACAACCGTTTTACTGGCTTTTGCCGTTCCCTGTCTCACGGGCAGATGTACTCTGACTTCGAGGGAAGTACAACTGTGAAACATGGACCTTAACATCCACACTTGAAATGCATATAAAAGCATTGGAAATTAGATCATTTCAAAAGATCCTTGGTGTATCATACAGAGACCATATCACTAATGACAAGATTAGTGTATCATCACTCAATGGTAACAATGGACCTTTTTTTAAGATCTGTGAAAAGATGGAAAATGCAAAGGTACAGACATGTAACAACGTCTGCCAGCACCTCCTAAACAATACTGCAGTGTTAAGTAGAAGGGAGGAGAAGATTTAGACCAAAAAAGACAATCATATAGAATGTGGCTAAATGGACAAGCCTCAGACAGGCAAACTTAGGTCCACTGCATTTAACTAATGAGGTGGAAGGAACTGATTAGACTCTCAACAGCAGCTGGTGACCCAAAGATACACAGTGTTATGGGACTGATGATTAATATCTGCTTCACTCTGAGGTTTAAAGAATATGATAGATTATTTGCTAACATTTGCCACACAAAAACTGCCAATTACTGCCTTTATCCTACGACTTCAGTAATGTAGGTGGGAGGTGGGGGGGGGGGGGGGGGGTCTTTGAGCCTAAGGATGTATGGCCGCATGGCTTGTGTTTCGTTAAGACTGTGCAGCTGAGGATTTTATTTTGCCCCTAACAGAACAAATCCCAAGCCTTAGCGAGGATTCAAACCAGGGTTTCCCGCTTGAAAGCCCAGCGTTCTAATCATTTGGCCAGCCGCTCCTCCTAACATTTGCTCCACTCTGAAATAAAAAGAAAGGTGACAGACTTATGCCAATACTGATAAACTACCTGTGTGGGTCCTGGAACCCAATTTTGGGGGATGACTAGTCCCACTCCACCTAATAATCATATCATAGAAGGCGACTAATTTAGGGTGTTTCCTTTGAAGTCTATCTGCCTGAGAGGAGAGGAACCAATAGTCTGCACACAAATAAGTCAGATCTGTAAAATGGACGTGCACACAAAACTCAAGACAAAAGTCCAGAAGTAGATGAACAGCCAGAACTTTCTGCCAGAATGAACAGCCAGTAAACACTAAAAAGAACAAGGAAATCATAAACTAAAACAACAGCTTACATTATCTATCAGCTGCTGCAACTCATCATTTGTCAACGGGTTCTCCCCAACCAGTCTTTCAATCACCATCTTCAGGTCTGAGTCGGAGATCAAATCATCTCCATCAAAATCTGAGGAGACAGAAAATGAACCTTTTTTGTTGGTAATTCTGGTACCAGTAGTTACTGTTACACCACTGAGATACTAAATTTCACACAAACAAACAAACAACCATGGCATCACAGCAGATGATTTTAACCTGAAAGATTTTGAAAATATTGTTTATATTTTCTAATAATCAATAAATCAATGAGGTGTCATCTCCACAATAAAGGTTGACCATAATGAATCTCCAACACTCTGTCTCTTGTCACAGATGTAAGCTCTCCTAGAATGCTGTTCATCTAACTCTAGATGTAAACCTCCCACTTGCATCAATGTCTATCTCTAGCACTCTGGTCTTCGACTTGTCCCTCCTGTATAGCTTTTAAAGAAGTGTTATGTCTTTTAATATGGCCAAAATATTTCAGTTGTCCCTTTCTTACTTCTTTCTGTAGCTCTCTTTTAATTTGCAGCATCTCGAGAACCTCCGTACTTGATTGTTCTTGCTTCCATGAAATGTGACCTACTCTTTTGTATATCCACATTTCCAGAGACTGAATTCTATTTTTTAGTTGCCTGTTCATTGTCCAAGTTTCTACACCATATGGCAGGCTTGAGTATTCATTACATTTGACGATTTTAACTTTTAATTTGTTGTTCATCTTTCTAATAATGTTGGCATCTAAATCAAGATAGTTTTATCCATTCTTATTTTCTTTTTGATTTCTGTTTCACTTTTTCCATCTGTTATTCTGTGTCCAAGACAGGAGAAACTTCTCACTGTATTTAATACCTCACCATTTACTGTAATGTTCACTGTTGGTCACTCTTTTCCACTGTTAATTATGATAGTTTTTGTGTTTTGTTTCTCAAATGTTGATTATAAAAAGAATACCCTGCACTCCACCTATTACCTTAATCCACTAGGTCCTGTAACTCGCGCTCACTTTCTGCTGGTAACACTATGTCATCAGCTCATCTCCAGTTTTCTAAACAAGACACTGACAATGAGATATCATCATGTAGGGAGTTCATCTGCACTGCTCTATCTAACCTCAGGCTCATTACTTTCAACTAGCATTTGTTTTCAAATGTTCATTGCCTTTGACTTGATCAGTCCACATTCAAGACTACTGGATTACCTCTACTAGTGTTGCTCCTATCACTTGATCTGGTCAACATAGGTGACCCTACAAGTAGCTAAGCTACTGTTGGCTGGTATATATCTTAGAGGTCACTGAACTCATAAGCCCCTTTACCACACCAAAATGGTGATACATATCACAGGCCTATAGTTTTCAAATTTGTTTTTTTTTAATTATACGAGGCACATCAAGCAAATGAGGCTATTCTTATAGACCAATCAGCACTCAGCAGGTGATAATGTGATCAACACTGCCCAGGGTGTCTTTACTTCTCAGAACATTATCTGGTCATCATCATCATCATCCTTCTTCTTCTTTCTCCTCTTCTTTCGCCTCTTCTTTCTCCTCTTCTTTCTCCTCTTCTTTCTCCTTCTTCTTCCTCCTTCTTCCTGCTGCTGCTTCTTCTTCTTCTTTTATTTGCTTGAAATAAATTATCTATATCTGCAATGTTGTCTAGTCTAGGAGGACATGATCTGTTGTCTCAGGTGTCAGTCCACATGTGCACATGGCTGATTTGCCGATTTTAAATTTTGTGTACATGTGGCTGCGAAGTCGATTGTGTCCTCTTCTAAGGCACAGAGCTATCTAGTCAGATCTGTACTCTGATACATTTGCAGTATAGTACTTGAGAAAACTGTAATCTGTTACCTTTGTAACACAGTATACATTTGTGCAACAGTTTCAGCAGGGGGCTGGCTGTTCATTGGGGAGAGACTGTTTAAACCCAGAGCAATGAAATCAATTCTCTCGACTTTAACTTTCCGTACGCCCGAGTACCTCCTGTGTTTATTTCTGTATCATCATCATCAACCATCAGCACGTCCTTTACAGAACATTGCTGTCTTCATGGCACGCCTGAAAGTCTTTACACTCTATCTGTAGCCAAATCTCCAGCCCTGTGTGCTTTCATAGCCAATGCATTATCAATGTCCTATATTCACGTTCACAGAGGTCAGCCTCCGCCTCATTTCCCAGAAACTGCATCATCCATCATTGTTCTCTCCTTTTGTACCCTTGCTGGAATACTTGGCAAGGCGTCAGCAGTTTTTACAAGCCTGAACTTTATATATGGAACTTTAAACTGTATGTTATGTTATGTTATGTTATAACAATTGCTGTGCACTGCACACTGGACATCCCCAGCGTGCTCAGTCCTCCGATACAGCAGCCACTCTAAGGTATCTATACTGATTGATCCTGTGAGGAATTGGTAATAATGTCTCCTAGCTTGGTCTCAAAGACAGCACAGCGAGCTTCAGCATGCTTTACTCCAAGGTCATGCAATCATGTATATTAGTGTCAAAGATTAGTCACTATCAACTGTATAGTTTTAAAACCAAGTTACCAAATTTCAATTCTATTGTTATTTCAAACTCATGTCAGTGAAAGGTGAAGAGCCACTACAGACATGGAGCGAAAGTTTCTGAAAACAAAAGCCTGAGGAAAAATTTGAACACAACATGGGATGAACGCATGAACAAACTTTATTTTCAAAGGGTCACAAATTGGGCACGCAGGCCCGTCTTACATTCAGCCCTTCCAGTCAAACATCTTTCGCACAGCAGTTGCATTTTACTAATAAAGCATGCCCACACAGACAACACACGCATAAATGCATACACATACGAACACATAGAAATACACACGCAGACACACATATTCAGAACGCACAGACATATACTCTGACATGCAGACAGATAAAGACAACAAAGAGGCACACACAATACACACAGAGAAACACACAGACATGCACAGACAGACAGACACATGCTGACACATACACTCACGCAGACAGACATACAGACACCCACATACAGAGATACAGACATACAGCCTCATTGACACACCCGCAGATAAAACACATAAACATACACAGGCAAACATGCAGACAAACACATACGGGGACACACACAGACACACCCGAAGATATACACACAGTAACATCAAATATGCAGAAAAACACCGAGACACACACACATGAAGACAAACACATATACACAGTCACATATACACAGCTACATGTATCCAATCGCACACACACACGCAGACACACATACACAACAAAGAGGCACACTTAAACACACACAGACCAATTCACACTAAAACATACACGTGGACATACGCACGAACACACACACATTCGCACACATACACAAGGACACAGACGCATACATTCATGAATTCAAGAAGGGTGAAGCAATAACCACTGGTAACAACAGATGGAAAACAAAGAAGATGGCGTTATACTGGACATGTTCTGAGAACAAATGAGCAGAAAATAATGAAACAGGCACTAAAATGGGAAATAAACGGATTGAGGAAGGAAGATTCCTTATAATGACTGATGGTGAGAGAGGCTAAAGGTCCTGAACTGAATTCCATCCATAACAATGAAGGGATTGCACAAGATAGAGATTGCACAGGTTAGATATTGCACAGGTTAGAGATTGCACAGGATAGAGATTGCACAGGTTAGAGATTGCACAGGTTAGAGATTGCACAGGTTAGAGATTGCGCAGGTTAGAGATTGCACAGGACAGAGATTGCACAGGTTATAGATTGCACAGGTTAGAGATTGCACAGGTTATAGATTGCGCAGGATAGAGATTGCACAGGTTAGAGATTGCACAGGATAGAGATTACACAGGTTATAGATTGCACAGGATAGAGATTGCACAGGTTAGAGATTGCACAGGTTAAAGATTGCACAGGACAGAGATTGCACAGATTTGAGATTGCACAGGTTAGAGATTGCACAGGTTAGAGATTGCACAGGTTAGAGATTGTACAGGTTATAGATTGCGCAGGTTATAGATTGCGCAGGATAGAGATTGCACAGGTTATAGATTGCACAGGTTATAGATTGCACAGTTTAGAGATTGCACAGGATAGAGATTGCACAGGTTATAGATTGCACAGGTTAGAGATTGTGCAGGATAGAGATTGCACAGGACAGAATGGAGAAAAAGACTGCGAGCCTTATGTGACACATTATGGCACAACAGGACATGATGATGATGATGATGATGAAAATGGTACTTAAACACCATGTCTGGAAGAAAGTCTCTATACCAACATCATTCTAAAAGTTATGTTTAATGTGTGACTCTGGTTACTTGAATGTCAATACAGAAGACTGAAGAGTTGAAACTAACAGTCTTCTAGTTAGATTCGCAAACAAATTTAAATGGCAAATTAAATACTTTAAATCATGTAACATAAGTAACAAATCTCTTTATATACGTACATATTTATGCATGGCTACTGAGTAATAAGAGCGGCGTAGGTGGCTTAGGCGTTGCGAGTCTGACTTGTAATTCCAACATACCCACAGCTGGCTGCGTGGATTTGTATCATGGTATGGGGCATCACAGGTCGACCTAGCCTAAAATGGGTACCAGGATGGCTGTGTTGGGGAAGTAAAGACAGCCGACCTAATGCTGACCACATTACCCACCTTGTGCCGATTGGTCTGTAAAAATATGGGTGCTCTTCCCATATGCCCAAAGAGCCTAAAGGAGTGAAAAGGGATCTTTACTTTTTTTTCTTTTTAAACTGAGCAATAACAACTAAACTAAAAAACAATTTTGTTACTGACCATAAATTCTAAATGCGTATTCAACTTTGACGTTTTTGGGTGCCCCATCGCTGAACACAGACATCATGTCCAGGAAATCCTCAAAAGTCATGCCATCGTCAGAGGATGAAAACACTTTACAGATCTGATCCTTGAAAGGATTCACCTGGAAGAAAATAACATGAGAAAAATACCTCTCCGTGAACAGATTATGACTTAATCGAGTAACATAAAGTGTATTGATCGGTACTCATAGAAAGAAGTAGAAAGATAGAAGAACACACTAGACAACATAAAAATCGAAAGCTATAGTTACTGTGCCAGGAAATGAACCTGTCACCTCTAGACGGCGTGTGCGCCTTGCCATGTATACAAGTGCACTAAGAACATGGCCAATTAGGCACCCCCAAAAAAAGGTGTCCTATTGGCCATGTCTATCGTACAGCTTGAAATCCACAACTATGGAATACGAACAGAATTAAAATGAAATGGCACCATAGGTTACAGAAATTTATATTAACAAAGCATATGTCGAATAACAATCACGCAACAATTTACATGAACAGATTAGAAGTTTCACATAAATGTGATGAAAATTTAGATCTGGAAACTATCAGGAGGCTTTAAATGAAAACCTTAAAAGTGAAATTACAAAAACCATACTATTGTCCTGTAGCGGCTTAATGCTGTTGCTAAGAATGTCAAGAGTGTTAAGCATGTGACATCACAATGAAAGTTCCTCATGTGGTTTCTGGGGTCCCACTGTGGGGGAAAACAAGAAAAGACATCCTGCCTCCCCAACAAGCATGTCATAAGAGTTGACTAATTGGGGGGGGCTTCCTTCAAAGTTGAAGTGTATCTGCCTGAGAGGCAAGGAACCAACATTCTGCATACAAATAAGCAAGATCTGTAAAACTGATAAACATGCAAAACTCAGTTCCTGGAACAAAGCCAAAGTTTAGAAATGGATGAACAACCAGGTCTTTCCGCCAGGGTTTACAGCCGATAAACAAAAACAACCAACAGCAAGACAATGACGGTTTAAAGATGGCTGCCACATGTTTGATAAGCGTCAAAGAGAAGCAGCTTTCTGTTATCTATTATTTAATCAGTGAAGGGCTGAAATCGATATAAACTCATCAGCGAATGAAGGCCCCGTATGGTAATGCATGATTGCCAGTGCAGCAAGATTTAAAACAGCGTAACTTCTGTATCGGTGCGCCTGACCCGGTCATGAACAGTTTGTCACAGAAGTCACGCCAATCTGAAACTTCCCATGTCACTCTACACTTGCTGAACTGTCACGTGTGCTCACCATACTGAAACAATGGATAACAGAACACTGCTCCTCTCTGGTGAAAGTCAAAAGTGGGTTAGCCACCTGTCATTGTGACATCACTGTGTTTGTCTGCACCGTGATATCAAGTCACACTCCTGACATCCTTAACAACAAAACTGACAGGTTACAAGACAATGGCAAGGTTACTGCCACTTTTTAAAATCTTATATTTAAGATTTTCACTTGTAGCCCGTCGTACTTTAATTCTTTGCATTATTTATTTTTTTCAAAACTATAATCTGTCATATGACAACTATTAGGACAGCAACTTTGGCTCATAAGTGTTTGTTTTAACTCGTCTGTATCACCCGATGACAACTAAAAGTAAGTAAGTAAAGATCCCTTTTCCCGCCTTTAGGCATATCGGGCATATGGGAAGAGCATCCATATTTTTACAGACCAATCAGCACAAGGTGGGTGATATGGTCAGCATTACGTCGGTCGTCTTTACATCCCCAGGACATAATCCTGGTACCCATTTTAAGCTGGGTCGACCTGTGACTGCCCCATACTGACAAATAAACGTGCTTTATTAAAAAGCTTTAAGTAATAAATGCCTGGATTAGAAAGAGTTGAGTGGTAATGAAGTGAAAATATTAAAATATTGAAGTTTCTGTTTAAATTGTGAACTAATAAAATAGGTCTAAATAAACTGAAAGCAATAATAATAATAATAACAATTATAATAAAAAAATATATATACACACAAATTTAAGGGAAAAAAGGAACATTTACCTTCAGTTCAGGGAACTGTTTAATTTTTGACAACGGCAATTTGGCATTTTTATCAGCTATTACTAGTTCTGGAGCTAAGGCTTTGAACTTCTTGTGAACACTGAAAGCAAATACACATGCAATGTAACACATGTTAGATATGATCAATAATTAGTATAAAAGGTGAATTAAGCAAAGATGGAAAATATGCTGAATTAAACATAATCATCAGGGAAGGCTCGCTCATGGGCCACTCAAACATCCAAGACCTACAACGGATTGCAACGGACCGCCGTGCATGGAGAGTCACGACCTCTGCCCTATGTGCCGCACTCGACACAAGAGGAAAGACTAACTAACTAACTAACTAACTAACTAACTAACTAAACATAATGCAGAAGAATCAAAGTATGCATATTAAGAAAAAAAAACTCGCACAGTAAAGGGAAAATGTGTAAGGTTGAAGAAGCAGATTGGAAGTTAGAGGAAACAACCTGCAAGTTCGAGGAAAAACACCTGCAAGATAGAGGAAACATCAAGCACAGTAGAGGAAATAACCTGTAAGATAAAGGAAATACCCTGTAAGTTGAAAGAAATACCCTGTAACGTAGAGGAAACACCCTGTAAGGTAGAGGAAACACCCTGTGAGGTAGATGAAACACCCTGTGAGGTAGATGAAACACATTGTGAGATAAAGGAAACACAGTGCGAGGTAGAGAAACACCCTGTAAGTTAGAGGAAACAACCTGTGAGGTAGAGAAACACAAGGCAGAGGAAACACCCTGTGACATAGAGGAAACATCCTGTAAGGTAGAGGAAACACCCTGTAAGGTAGAGGAAAAACCCTTTAAGGTAGAGGAAACACCCAGTACGGTAGAGAAAACACCCAGTACGGTAGAGAAAACACCCAGTACGGTAGAGAAAACACCCAGTACGGTAGAGAAAACACCCAGTACGGTAGAGAAAACACCCAGTAAGGTAGAGGAAACACTTTGTAAGGTAGAGGAAACATCTTGTAAGGTAGAGGAAACACTTTGTAAGGTAGAGGAAACACCTTGTAAGGTAGAGAAAACACCATGCAAGATAGAGGAAACAACCTGTAAGGCTGAGGAAATACCCTGTAAGGTAGAGGAAACAACCTGTGAGGTACAAAAAACAATCTGTAAAGTAGAGGAAACACATGATAAAGTCAACACCCTTCAAGACAAAGGAAACATTGCATGTTAAAGGAAACCCTCTGTAAACAACCAGAGCTGATTAATGTAGTCATTTTTAATTTTTGACATTACTGCCAACTACTGTCTTTATTATACTACTTTTGTTGCAGGGGGGTCTGTGAGCCTCAGGATTAAGGGCCACATGGCTAGTGCTGTCGCCATGGGCGGTGCAGATGAAAATTTGATTTTGCCCCCAAAAGAAAAAAAATCCCAAACTTTACCATGGATTTGAACCCGGGTCTCCTGAAGACAAAAATAATAAATATAGACTTGTTCCAGAACTTTTTTGTGTGTACAGCCCTGTTTTAGGGATCTGGCTTATCTGTATTGGTCTTCTTCTTTGTACACCGGCTGTAATCTCCAGCAGAAAGTCCTGGTTGTTCTCCCACTTGGACTCTGGCTTTGTGCCAGGGTTTTGCGTGTATATCAGTTTTACCGACTTATTTGTGTGCATTTGGTTGTTCCTTGCCACTTGGGCAGATGCACTCTGACTTCAAAGGAAGTCCCCAGTTAGTCAACTCCTACGACATACTTGTTGGGGAGGCAGTGGGTCTATCCTTTTTTCCCCACAATGGGGCCGGTACTGAGACTGTTTGTTCCTTGCCTTTCATGGCAGTTTCACTCAGACTTTGAAGAAAATGCCCCTAATTAGTCAAGTCTTAGAACACGCTTGTCAGGGTCTATTAACAAGGGGCCCCAGAACCCATACAGGGAAATCTTGTAAAACCTAACATTTAAGTTTACTTTGGTGCGCCAACAGAACATAAAATATTATGCACATATTTTTTTTAAATAAACTGTTGATCACTGTTTCAAGGCACAGAGTGCACCACTGTTTTAAGGCACAGATTGCATCACTGTTTCAAGGCACAGAGTGTATCACTGTTTCAAGGCACAGAGTGCATCACTGTTTCAAGGCACAGAGTGCATCACTGTTTCAAGGCACAGAGTGCACCACTATTTCATCACACAGAGTGCACCACTGTTACAAGCCACAGAGTGCATCACTGTTTCAAGCCACAGAGTGCATCACTGTTTCAAGGCACAGAGTGCACCACTGTTTCATAGCACAGAGTGCACCACTGTTTTAAGGCACAGAGTGCACCACTATTTCATAGCACAGAGTGCACCACTGTTTTAAGGCACAGAGTGCACCACTGTTTCATGGCACAGAGTGCACCACTGTTTCAAGCCACAGAGTGCATCGCTGTTTCAAGGCACAGAGTGCACCACTGTTTCAAGGTACAGAGTGCACCACTGTTTCAAGGCACAGAGTGCATTGCTGTTTCATTGCACAGAGTACACCACTGTTTCAAGCCACAGAGTGCATCACTGTTCCAAGGCATAGAGTGCACCATGTTTCAAGGCACAGAGTGCACCCCTATTTCAAGGCACAGAGTGCAGCCAACATTTCACAAACTAAAGTTACCCCTCATGAATAAAGTGCTAATGTGAACCATTGTACAAACAATATTTTGTTTAACCTCCTGCCTGTTTGACAAACACCCACACAGGTTTGCTACAGGTCAAGCTGTTCTGGTCTCATTCCACACTTTGTGTCGCCCAACTTTAAAACAGATCTGAACATGTTTTAAAATATATGCTGTCCCCTTGTGGGTTCTAGTGCTCAATTTCGAAAAGAGGTGGGGGGGGGGGGGGAATAACAGACACAGTGTTTTTTATTTGTCCTTCCGTTATTCAACACAAGTAACACACAGGCAAAAGGTACTCTGCTGCATTTAAAAATATCCAGCCAGACTACTTTAGTGTGCTCTAACAAAGTGAAAATTTATAAGACAATATGTGAACAAAGAAGACATAAATAATAGATTGCATAACTGATTCATCATCATCATCAATTTCCACTTTTGGCATTAAGCGTTGTGGGGAGGAACAGTGCATTGCTTGATGGGCAGCAATGGCTACTTCCACTCTGTGTCAGTGCAGAAGATCTTTAATGTCATCAGTTGATCTTCTCCTAGGAGGACCTCTTGCTTTCATATCAGATCTTTTCAAGTGCGTTGGTAGTTGTTGTGGCTGCATTCTAATGAGATGACCAAACCATCTGATCTTTTGTTTTTCAATAAATTTGATGCACCTTGTTGCTCCCACAGTCTGCCTAATATCATTTCTCAGTTTGTCTTAGATGGTTAAACTGGCTGCTTTCCTAGAGAATCTTATCTCTGGCCCAATTTACCGCCTGACGTAGTTTGCTGTATATGGTGAAACTACAATATTTGGTGACTTAGTTGAGTTGAGTTGAACTGATGGTACCAGTCACAATCTGGTTATATGTCCATCTTGTTTTTCATTTGAGTGTAGTGAGCCGGCCAGACCCTCTGGTTACACCCAGGTGCCTCATTCTCTCCAGGAAATAATAATCTTGTTTCTCTACTGATTCCGTTGCTTGTTCCCAAAGGGCCTTGACCACATCTGCCTTGTCATGTATCAATTCATAACCCAGTGGTGCAGATCCATCCAATCTGTCTGCTTGTTCATTACCCACCACGCCAGCATAGCCTGGAGAAAAGATCCAAAGTATGCTCACTACCCGTGACCTTCCCAGTGAAGCTTTGCCACTCTGCTCGAAGCATCCCTGTCTTCACCTTTCTCAGCATGCTTTCAGAGTCTGTTACAATTATGACAATTAGGTGACTTATGAAGGTTTTACTGTAGTTGCTGCCTGGCAAGATAAGTAAAGTATTCCTGGCAATAAATTATGCAGTTTATTGTTCGTCTTCTCTGTTAAGATTTACAATGAGGAAATATTGCTCTAATAAATTTTATTTTCACACAGACAACCACTGATCCCATGTGATGTGACAGAAAGAAGTAGGCAGTGAAATGGGAAACAAACTTGAAGACTTACTTTAAAATCTCCTTTTTGGACAGGTATGTCAGTGTCTGTTCAATAGAAAAGAAAAAAAAAGAGAAAAAAAATCATATTTTTGTTACGAATAAAAGTAACTTACAAACATTGGCAATATACTAGAAACAATTACTATCAATGTGACATTTGTATCACTGCAGTTTAAAGGCATTTGAGAACAAATGTCTAAGAAAATAAGGATGAATTCAAAAAGGTGAATAAATAAACAAGAGAATCCAGTAAAAGAAGAGGATCAGAGATGAATGAGTGACACGGACAATGGAAACAAACAATTAGGAAAATGTATTGTCTCCTGAGGTGTGAAAACCCAGAAGAATAGACTGTATTACATGGAAACAAAAGCAATCAAATACAGAGGTTCTGAAGAGCATCTGAATGAAAACAATGTTGCTGAAGAAAATTTAAAAAGAAAGAGCCATATTAAAAAAAACTATTTAAAAAAAGTCATTACACTCTTATAAAAACCATAATGAAGGGAAAAGTTGGTGGCAAGCAAACAAGAGGCAGATAATGATACAAGTGGGAGAATAAGATGAAGAGATGGACGAACAGCAGTCTGAGAGTGTAAATCCGGGGTAAAAAAGACAGTGAGAAAGGTCCTCTACAGCAAACCTTCAGTGTGGAGGCAGCACCTGACTGAGTAATGCGGAACGGACATGAAGAGAGCTGCAGAAGATGGTAAAAGGTAGGTTGGCTTTATACAGGTTCTGCAGAAGATGGTAAAAGGTAGGTTGGCTTTATACAGGTTCTGCAGAAGATGGTAAAAGGTAGGTTGGCTTTATACAGGTTCTGCAGAAGATGGTAAAAGGGAGGTTGGCTTTATACAGGTTCTGCAGAAGATGGTAAAAGGTAGGTCGGCTTTATACAGGTTCTGCACAAGATGGTAAAAGGTAGGTCGGCTTTATACAGGTTCTGCAGAAGATGGTAAAAGGTAGGTTGGCTTTATACGGGTTGGTTGAGGGTCTATGCACTAATAGAGACAGAATAAAGGAAAAACAATTTTTTTTTTTTTTTTATTAGACCGACAGATACACACTTTTCTCTACCAAGGACTACAAGTCAGGCCACCTGATTAAAGAGGTTTGAGGTTTTGAACAACAGATCAACATCATAGCACACGGGTAGTAACCCATAAGTGTTCCGTTCTTCTTCTAACTCAAGTCTGAAGATGCTCAGCACAGTGCACAGGCTCTGTAGCACCGGCAAGGATCCTGAAATACTTTGGGTAGATTTTCAACTCCAAATTTAGCCCGGGCAGCCCCATTAGGCTACTCTTTTCGATTTCCAACAGCGAAAGGATTTTTTTTACATGCTCAACAATACACACAGGCGTCCGATCTCACTACCCAGAGACATGGGGGAATTACTAGAAGTCCAACTCAACGTGAAAAAAATCCTAGCCCTTACCGGGGATTGAACCCGGAACCTCTAGCACTCGAGGCGGACACTATGCCTCGAGACCATGCAGCCCCTTCTGATTAATGAGACCAATATCTAAACTGCCCAGCCATAGACCCACTGTCCTAACAAGCATGTCATAAAAAGCTACTAATTACAGAATGTTTCCGTCTGCCCGAGAAGTGAAGAACCAAAGCCTGATCTGTAAAATTGTGAAAGCTAAAAAGAAAAGGAAAATAGTATACATTTTGTTATAAGTGATGTGGATGGCATCCATTCTAAGAAGTTGGCACTAATGATCTATTTTTCTCCTCCTGCTTTTATATCCTGAAAGGAGTATATACCCTTGACTAGTTCACATCAAAGGCTTGCAGACTTATTCACAATTGTCTGGATTTTTCAGCTAAAGTTTCTTTTACAGAGGAGGTAATCTGTCTCATGGTATCCCTCCTTGTTTATCTCTTATGAATACAAAGGACCAAAAACTGCAATACTCAGGATTCCAGGATGTCCAAGCCCTGTCAACAACAACAACACCAAAAAACTAATTGCAAATCTTCTTCTACTTCGTGTTCACTGGCTCTAAATTCTGGCAGAAACTTCTAGTTGTTCATCCCTTTTTAATCTTATTCCCGAAACTGAGTGTTGTATACAGATCTGTTTTACAGATCTGACTTATTTGTATGCAGACTGCTGGTTCCTTGCCTCCAGACAGATGTACTCGAAGCCACCAATTAGTCTAATTTTATGACATGCTTGTGGAGAACGCAGTAGGTCTATTATTGTTTCCCCAAAAATGTGGTCTTGGAACACACAAGAGGACATTGCAGATTTGAAGACCAGCACTGCCTTGCTTTCCAAAGTAGCAGAAGTGATCCTGTCATGGATACCTGCTCACTGTGGTATTCCAGAAAATGCAACAGCAGCTGAGCTAGCAAGAGCTGGGAGTAATCTTGCACAGCCTCATCTGGAAGAGCCACGGAGAAACCAAACAGTCCTAAAGTAGTCCTTGGAAGAAAAGAAAGTAAAGAAAGCAGAATGGAAACTAAAGATCAACAGTGACAGCATAAACAAACAGGTAAGAATAAACAATTGTAAGGCTTGAGACAGGATACCGCCATCTTACAGTCCACTTACATAAAACAGATTCTTGAAAATGTACTACAGGACTGCTCAACTACTTGCAGCAGAGGTTGGGAATCCAAAGGCGCTACAATACAAAACAAGTACTTCCCCGAGTGGGTTCCTGGGTCCCATTGTGGGGAAAACCACTGCCTCGCCATTAAGCATGTCGTAACAGTCGACTAACTGAAAGCTTCCTTTATAGTCAGAGTGCATCTTGCTGAGAGGCAAGGAACCAACAGTCTGTATACAAATAAGCAAGATCTGTAAAATGGATGCAAACACAAAACTCAGGTCCTGGAAAAAAAGCCAGAAATGGATGAACAACCAAGTCTTTCCGCTGGGGTTTATAGCCGGTGCACGCAAACAAGACAAGATAAGCTATGGGAGAACTGGCAGCGACTTTAAATGAACCATCCTGTTTGGACCCAGACCAGACTGAATGTCAAAAACAGAAGGAGAGGAATAGATCTCTTAAGACACGCGTGTAGTTTACTAACTGCCTTCTGTCTGTGGTTTAGATGAGTGGTTATTGGTAACGTCTGCAGCTGTAAATAACTCAGTGCTCATTTGCTTGTCTTTCATCGGATATTACTATGCAGCCTAGATAGTTACAAACTATAGTAACTAGCTAATTTATCTATACAAATTTGGGTCTGGCAAAATATGCTTGATGTGTAAAAAGTATGAAAAGTCTAAAACACATTCATCTATAAATAAATACACTGTCTTGTCTACGGTGCTAGCCAAATATTTTATAGACTAAATATCCCACAAGTAATCTTTACTTCTGAAGACACTTTCTACATCAAATTTTACACTTCATCTACCTGGGAACCCAACACTGTGCAAATAAAATGGCTCTCCTGTCAACTACGGCCGGTAGACAACAGTCGACGGCCGGTTAGTCGGAGTTCTGTCCCCTGGCTGCAGTGCAATTAGGGACTGGAAAGGAGGGAACGAAACAAATGACATAATTACTGTGTGTTGGTGATAGACAGCGTGCACTGCCCTGCTATAATCATACGGTAACAGTTTGGGTTAGGGGTAGGGTTAGGGTTTTTTTATTCATGCCGTCTCCAGTCAGGGGACAGAACTCCGACTAACCAGCCATCGACTGTTGTCTACCGGCCGTAGTTGACAGGAGAGCCAATAAAATAACTATTTTCAATATATAAATAAAAGTTCATTTAATTTACTCAATTATTTAAAAAATAGTATATGCTATTACTACACCTCCTCATAATATAACCCTGCAACAGTGAAGGGTATATTTTATATACAAATACACGCATAGTTGATAAATGACTGTATTTATGAGACAAGTTATTTTTTCTAAGTATACCCTGAGAACACAGTTATCGAATTCCTCAGTGGTAAAGGGGATTTACTATTTATTATTATTATTGTTTGTGTCAAAATTTCTGAATGGGGTACCGTTGGAAAGAGCGTTTTAATGTGTATCATTCTGTACTGGTTATAAGTTAGAAAGTAAAAAAGTGACTTTGACCAAAGTACTTATAAAAACTACATTACTAATGTCTACTCTACATCTGTGTTTTACTCATTATTTGTCTGTTTAATTTTATTTGTAACGATAGTAATTATGGGGTACGAAATGATACCTGGTAATCGTCAAGTTCTTCTTCGGTGAAAACACTCTGGGAAGCACCCATTTCACGTTACGTCTATATCCGTCTATCGGTACCCAATATTTGATGACAACTGAGTCAGTAGATCGTGATCAGCTCTAGTTAGCTACATGATTCAGGATGTGTCTTGCCTAGTTGCCGACCAGACGGTCGGTGACGACATTCGACACAGACAGAAGGATCAAACCAACGAGACCGTTCAAATCCTGAATCTGGCAGGTCAGAGGTCACAGATAACAGCTGTAAACCTTTCAACATTGTGAACTTCCTGAATCCTGACCTTTACTGACATTTTGAACAAGGGTTGGTACGTAGCACCGCCTTCTCTGGAAATAGTTCCAGGAGGTCGTGGGGCGTGGGTAGGTACTTTGTTGGGGACACGTTCAACCAGCATCCATGAAGCTTTAGGTTATAATTATGACAAGGTTATATGTGTCATAAAAAGGTGAAGTCAAGAGATGTGAACCAGCGTCATTGCACACGGTTATAAATCATAAATGCTCTGCCACCAGTACAGACAGCTGATAAGAATTGTCCGCCTGTGTTGCCGTTCTCGCGTAACTCTGTAGCTACAGCGACATTCCTCCATTTACCCCAGAGTGTCACTCTGGTACCCATTTCATAGAGGCTGGGTGAACCCCTAGAGCCGCCCGGTTTCGAACACCGGCCGTGGGCTGCAGCGAGTCGCAACTGGATTTGAAAGCGAGCTTCTTATCGACTGCTTAAACACCCCCCCCCCCCCCCAAATAATGGTCAGTATATTAAATGGCGTAGCACTGTCCGCCACAAAGAGCACTGAAAAGGACTCCTACAGTGTTGATGCGATCAAAGGAGACAGACACAAATACTGTTCCTAAATACTAAGTCGTCTACGGGTGAGCCAGTGGGCGACCCGGTCACCGGTGGAACCAAGAAGATGCACACACAAGATATTGCGGTTTATTGCCTAGTATATTTCGTTGTATCTCAAGTGCTTACGACAATAATAATTGGTTACAATAAAGCAAATATATGAATTCGTCTTATTGAAAACTAGGAGCTCCCCCCCCCCCCCCCCCCCTCCACCCAATATTTTAAGAAGGACTTGGCCTAACTTTGCCCCCCCCCCCCCTTTTCAATACCTTTGTAAGAATACAAAGAGAACCCCTTTAACCACGCACAGACATTTTCGTTTAAAGTATTTGTTTTTTCATTGTCTATTATTTCCAAATTATTGTTTACCTTTCAACATATGCATCTTCTTCTTCTTCGGTATTCAGAGCCCTTGAGGTACATTGCTGCCTCCACTCATCTCTCTGATTGGTCTTCTCTTTCCAGATGGTGACACCAGGTGTTTGTAGGTCTGACTAGACATGATCTCTTCGTCGTCTTTTTTGGTCTGCCTCGTGGTCTACGGCCATTCATCCCCCTTGTGAATACAGTTTTAACCTCTCTGTCATCTGACATTCTCTCAATATACTCCAGCCATTTCAGTCTATTAGCTCTCACGATGTCAGTGATGAATTGTGATTAAAACAAACTACGAATTTCGTTGCTGGTTTTCACTCTCCATTCCCCACTGTTTTACATCTTTGATTGGTCGAAAGATTCGTCATAAGACTGTTTTCGAAAATGTGCTATAAGGCTTCATCTCTTTTAGTTGTGCTCCAAGCTGCAGGGCTATATAAAACGACTGGTCATATCAATGTTTTATATACTGTGGCCTAGGGCATGGGAAAAGTCATTAACTTGGTGGTCCAAAGCCTCGGCCAAAGAACGCAAGAGTCGTGGTAATACAGCAGATAAGGGACACCTAAAACGAGACTCGGTTCAAACAGCCGCAGCAAGGCCAGTGGATCGGCATTGAGAGCGTCTTGCCACGAATACTTACATGGGGTGAGCTCTCACTATTGGCACCTCTGGGACTGAGCTTTGTCATACGATCTGCTTATGGCGTGTTACCCTCTGGGGCCTACCTAGCCAAGTGGCCTGCGACCATCGACTCGACGTGTCCTCTGTGCAGCCGCTCGAGCACTTTCTGTCCCCGTGCAGAAAAGCCCTAGGCCAGGGAGATATACATGGCGCCATAATACAGTCCTGAAAGAGTTAGCGGACATTGTGGACCAAGCCAGGATTAGGACCAACACAAGGGCCAATCCTACTGCCCCCTTCCCTCCCCACGCGCTTCCTCGAGGCTGGGCAGATTTGTAAAGGTAAAGTCAACAAGGGGGCATACGCTCCATCAATACTTGACTGTGCGAAGGACTGGTTACTAGCTGTCGACCTGCCTGGTTTCGAAAAGTACCCAGAGTAAATCCGAAAGACCGGATGTGCTAAAGCAGCTCGCCTTACGAGGAACAGAACTCAAACGGTCGCTAAAAACTGGGCGACGCAACTGAAAGGGTTTTGGACATCACGGAACGTCGTGGGTGATGAGCCTCGGTAGACTGGTCCGGTCACCTAGTGTAAAAAAACTGTTCAACCCTATCAAGCCAAAGTATCCGATAAATTCTGGCAGCGTCTCTCTGCCCAATGCCAAAGTCGCTGTCCGCTGAACCAACCGTAAGCTTGTCACTCTGTTCGTGAATGTAGTCCGCTAATTTGCTACCACAGCGACAAATATATCACCAAATCTCACACCTGCTGCAAAGCTCACCATATCGTTCCTGTCTGAGAGTCTGATTAAGCGCAGCAGTGGAAGATCGAGACCTGGAGCCATGATCTAGATCGGCCCACCTTCCAAAATTGTATAGGAAGTAATGGGCCGGAACAATCGTCGGTGAGGGATCTTTGTACTGATGATCGGTGGACTCCTGTTGTGCATGCTCCTCTGTGGGATTCGTCTTATTGATCTTGGTGTTGCGAGATAGAGACTTTGACGGATGTTGAAGGGCATAGTATACTTTTTTTTCCTCTCTCATCATGCTGGAGCAGTTTAAGTTTGCACCCAAGTACTTATATGTTTCCTTTCGTTTGATTTTCATATTATTTACTTGTATTTGGCCAGAGTTTATTTATAACCCTTTCTTGTCTAGTTATTATCGTGTTTTATATATTATATTGATTAACAACTAGTCCCATTTTCTGAGCTGCTTCTTTTAAGAGAGTCAGTGTTTTTACAGTCTCTATTTCATTTTCTCCAACGATATCAATGTGATCTGCATAAACTAGTATTCTTGTAGTTTCTCCTATAGTACTCTCTTGTTTTAATTTTTTAATTTTCTCTAGGGTCAAGTTGAAAAGAAGTGGGAACAGAGCATCACCTTGCTTTAAACCATTTGTTATTTTTAAAAAAAATCTGACTTTCTGCCTTTATGTGTTACTATAAGTGTTTTCCCTATATAGTCTGGTCATAGTAGTTCAACTGCTTTGGTATTCCTAAGTCCTTTATAGAATTCCATAAACTGTTTCTATATACACTATCATGTCCCCTTTTTGAAATATACATAAACATGTACATCTCTTCCATATTCCCAGTGTTGTTATTTGTCGTAGAATAATATCTGATCTACTGTTGATCTGTTTTGTCGGAAACCCGCTTGGTAATCTCCAAATATGTCTTCGACGTATGGTTTTAGTCTGTTTTAGCTGTACCGTCGACAGTGTCTTATAGCTTGTAGATAATAGTGATATTTATCTTTAATTTCCACCTGCTATTATAAGTTCAGCAGCAGTTCCATCAGCTTGATTGTTTTTGACCCGTGTTATGACATACATAATCAGACTCTTCAATATTTAATTAACATGTTAGTATCTTTTGCCCGCACAAATAATTAGAATGCATTTGTGCGTATTCGAGGTTTATTAATTTATGATGATCCTTGAGCTGTATAGCTCAAATTTCTAATGTAACAATCAACCTTTACAAAACACGTGTTTTGTTTTGTAATCGGACGTAAATTCCACGACTGTTGCGCTGAAAGTGTTTCAGAGCGCTATAAAATCAGTGTGCCAAGTATGTGAAAAGTTGCAAAGACGTAGCTTTAAGTGGTTAGTGTCGGTTAGGCTTTGGGCAATCAACGTCGGTACTGTAAAACTTATTCTGTTACAGGACCTAACGAAAACTACTGTGCAGTCTATTATTCATGTATAAAGCCTCAGTCAGCTCTGTGGCTAAGTCGATGCGAACGCTTCGTAATGCCGGGTTCGATCCCAGCTGCTAGCCATGCGCCTTGCGTTGGTTTTGACAGTGGTATAAAAAAAAAAAAGCCGACCGGTTAGTAAGCAAAGGCAAACCACTGGATGTAAATTTGCCTAGAAAAACCACACAATAGCCAGGGGCTGTTGGGGTTGGTTCTGCAACGTCACGTAAAGGATGCGCAACTAACTATAAAGCCTCAACGGCCAGATTAAGAGTACCTCTAGGCTAATTTTTTTTGCAACCTTTGTTACCTCCTCTACTTATCTAACGGCTGCACACAACAACAAGATTGTGACAGTCGTCCTGTGGGGGCCGTGTTTTAGGGCGCTCAGTATGCGGAACTGTTTGTTTCGTGGCGGTGTGACTACGGACTGACTTGGTGCTAACACAGATGGACGATGCAAAAGCTAGCGAATAGCCAATTAAACAGGAACCAGGCCCCTCAGAACCAGAACTTAGGCAACAAATGAACAAACTCAGGTGTAGTTGCTCACCACAAGGAATATAAATAAATAAGATAGCAAAGGAACCGTCCTTGAGAAAACAGGCCATCAGGCAGTTAAAAAAGGACCAAGTTTGGAATTTTTGTTTGATTTTATACGATACGACGATACGATTAAGAGTACCTGCTAAAATAAAATTTCACATTCCTTGATAAACAGTTACGGAGAAATTATTGAAAATAGAGCGGCAGGAATTAATAAACGCATTATAGCTGCGAAATTTCTGCTGGCAGAAAAAAATGCAGTTCCTGTGAATGATTTAAAAATGAGGTGAGCGGACGCAGTATGTGTAATTGCTCACCACAAAGGAAAAGAACTTAAATAAGATAGCAAAGGAATAATCCTTGATAAAGCAGGCCATCAGGCGGCTAAAAAAGGACTAAGCTTGGAATTTTTGTTGA